CAAAATGGGCTTTCTTTAGGCAGCGTTACCGAATTGATTGATGGACGAGGTATAGTCAAGGAAGTGTTCTCACATGTTAGCAATTTGCCTCTTCCCTGATGAAGACCAGAGGAATGAAAAGCAGAACTGCTTAGTAAGCTTCCCCTACTCAACAGTGTAGGTCCCGTGAAATAAATTCTATTCAGAGGAATAAATGGACACATCATTAATGGTCTTATGTGGTGTAACAAAACAAGCTGTAAAAGCAGTTGCTATCAATTTGGAAGCAGGAGGGCAAAATTCGCATGTACCCTAGTAAGTTAAATCCAGACACTGTTTTTTAAAAATTTGAAGGAAGATAAATGGTTTGAAGTGCTACATGACACTGCCTTCTGTGAGGTGCATTAATTTAACAAGCATTGCTTAATCAATTACAGATAAAAATAATCTGATTGTGAGACTCTGTCTTTGAAAAGACACAAACAGGCCTTTTAAACATTAGCTTTCTAAGGTTGTCAAGTTGCATGTACTTTCTTGCTTTAAAGATAAAAAAGCAGCAGCTCCCTGCAGCTTTTCAGCTCAAAACGAAAGTATTACAGAGTGACTTTTCGTCTAGAGAATGTTAATGAAATTTGCTTTGTGTTAAGACACAATGTGAGACTAATCTTGGCAGATCACACATTCTGCTGTTCATTTACCTTTTTGTCCTTCAGAGACTGCGAAGATATTGTAGGGTTACTGCAGTGCATGTTCCAAACCTGTGTTGCACAAACCTCAAGGACCTCTCATCCAAATTATGAAGACAAGCAATGAAGATCTGAGCCAGGATGGAAAACTGAGAGAGTATTTTTAGACAAAACATACTCAAGACCATTTGAAAAGATTTAATTAGAGAATTTAACCCCTCCTAGCCCCGATCTCCATGTCATGATGCTACATTAGCTACAGTTAGCCTTACATTTTGGTATCTTGGAGTTTAAGTGCTTGTGGTCAATGGATACTAAAATTAGAAACCAAGAACCCCTTTCTAGCTCTGCAATCCGCAAGCAAACTGGTGACCCTTCCAGGAGAGAGTATGAAATGAGTGAGATGCACTTTCACTGCGCACTTTGCTGGGACGGGAAGAGAAGAGATTTTTCAATGAGA